TAGTAACAAGAAGCTACTAGGGTGGAGGCCATCGCTAGCAGGTTGGATGCCAGCGCTACTAGTAACAAGAAGCTACTTGCAACAATTGTGTTCAGTTTCGCCATCAGGTTAGCGACGCATCTAAGACCGGCTCCGCCCAGTTTGGTGCGGGTGATCGAGGCATGCTTTTGCTGGTTTTAGAGCGCTGCGATCTCTCTTTGCACTGCCAAGGGTTTGCAAATTGGAGATGTGCAAGGCATAAAACGTGTTTGTGCACCAGGTGTCCTTACCCAAGGTGGTAAGGAACCTCACAGTGCCACAGCTGGAAGTTGTTGTGCAATCCTTGGCCTTCATATCTGGCTTGAGATCCTCGGATTTTAGTTGTCATTTTGCTTTGAACGGTGGTTCATGTATATACTTTCATTGAAGGCCCAAATGCGGCAACTGAGGCAACACAAACAGCCTGGGAGTGCGTCTTGGTGATGCATGCCTTGCTGCACCGCTTACCGCCTTGGACACTCCTGCATTGGTTGGGGCTATGCGATCAGCCTTAGCATTGGGTGGACCGCTCAAGTGGAACGTCATGTTCATGGTGAGTGGTAGGCAATTCCAAACGCCAGACATGCCCCAAACAGTTTTGTGGAAGGATGTAGGAATAAGAGCACTGAGGTCACCATGCTCCTGGCTTTTGGGCCCCTGTGCTTTACGAAGCGAAACGGCGCGTGGAAGCACCAGAGGTCTGGGTGGCAGCAGATGTGGCCAACGCAGCGTTGTTGGCTGCGCGGGTTGCTGCGCGAGATGCCAAGAAGCAAGAGGCACTGCGCAGCTGTTTCCATCCTGTTTTGCTCGATGAGTGTGTTCTTGCTTGTACTTCATTGTGTTTCTATTTCTGGGGTGGCTGGCAAAGCGACTCGAACATGGAAAAACCAATCGTTTGAACTTCACTAGAGGCGCCTTAATCATTCGGCGTATTTGCTCTTCATGTCTCTTGATGCTCAATCCATTCTGCAGATTCTCACAGCAACGTTTCTGCTGAAGCAGTTATTGCTTGAACGTGGCAGGGTTGTGGAGTCCTTTGTGCCAGGTAGCCATGGTGGAGGTGCCTAATGCGGCAGCTCCTCCTGCTTTGGCGCTGCTACATGCCCTTTGGACACTGGCGCTGCAACGGACCTTTGTGGTTTGAAAGCACCGATGTTTGAAAGGGTGAACCTGCTGTTTTGGGAGATGTTCTTGTCCTAGACTAAGGGCCACGCATAGGGTGAGCATAGTTTTAGGAACAAATTGGGAACAAGCACTTGAAATATCTCCAGATCTCGTTGCAGGATGCGAGACTTCGAGCCACGAGCGCTTGGGATCCTGGCCATGGTCTGGTTCTCAGACCTGATCACATTATGTCTATCCAAAAAGAACCACCGCAACGGCAGAGCGCAAGCATGCGCAAGCTGTGAGCAAAGGCGATGATGAAGAGTGACCAAGAAAATGGCACTGTTTTTGCTGCCATTTCGCATCGATCCCTCGAACTCTATGAGAGTGGTGCAATCTTCAATAGCTTGGACATTTGCCAGCTCCCCTTCTGCACTAGCCACGATGAACATCTGTGAAATGGATTTGTGCAGTTCCAGGTGTGCTTCGTTTCGTTTCTTCTGCTGCATGCCTGCTAAACTCTGGCAGCAGATTCTGGCAAGGCTCCTGGTGGCACTAGCCCATTTTAGATACAGCCCAGCGCCCAGTGGCAGCTTTCTCATTCATGACTGGATTCACATGGTGGTTTGTTTGCTGAAGTCCTCAGGAGATGAATTGTTGCTGAAAGTCCTCGCATCCAGACTGGAGGAGTCATTTGAAGGCTATGACTCCAAAGCGCGTGATATTGCTCCCTGCCTTGGCTTGGTTTCTGTGTTGTCTCCAGTGGGACATCGGGTGTGCAAACAGAGCCGAGGCAATGTGGTCCTTTTCAATCCTTGGTGGTGTTCCAGGGGGCAAAGAGCGATACCCCCACCTGGTGGAATGCCTTTTGGAGCCCAAGCTGCGTTTCTGGCCGCTTTAGCAGTCCACGACTGCTCGATCCTGCTCGCCATGCTGCGAGTAAGGAGTATGAGCTGTCCAAAGGCAAGTCCACGGAGCTGACTGAGGGGCACTTGAGTGCAGTCGAAATCATGCCGCACGAAATCCCGCAGACAGCCCCTGGTTGAAAAAGGATACCCAGGTACTGTAGGGAGAGTAGCACTGACAGTCCTACAAGTAGAGATGCTGCACCCATCCTGCAAGAGTGTGCAAGCAGTATGCCAGTTTGTCCGGCTCCAAAATTTGCTATACCTGTAGCTTGAGCACCTGCCTTTCAAGACACGGAGAGTGATAGAGGTAGGCTGGGCTGCGGCCTGAGTTGCCATGGCGGGCAACTCGCCTACTTCCCCTTTGCCTGGTGTGACCAGGGGTGGGAGGGCTGCCCCGATTGGCAGCTTGAATAGCATCACTATTCATTCCCCTATAGGCAGCCTCAGCTCCGTGAACGGTGGTGTCATCAACAGCGGGCACTTCAAAGCCACACCTCAAGGCCAGCGCCGCCGCTGGTGCGACTACACACCTACGGAAGTGTGGCCAGCAACCCCAAGCCCAGCTGGTCACGAGGGAATGTGCGGCTTCGGCGTGCCAACCACTATGCCAGCACCAGCAGCACCAGCAGTTGCCACGTCTCCTTCAGCAGCCTTAGGTGCCACTTATTCTGGATTCCCAGCTGTGGCACAACCAGCCCAACCTGCGCAGCCAGCGCAACCAGGTGTGGCTTCTGGGCAGGTGCCCGCTGCCATGCCAGCAGGCATTCCTGTGCCCATGCAAGGCCTGCCAGGCATGCTGCCCATGCCCGTGACCGCAGCAGCAGGACCTTGTGACATTGTGACATTGTGCTGTGTATAAGCCATAAGCCTTATTATTTGCGCAATGTATTTCATCTTATCTGGATTTTACGTTTCAAATTGCCATGGCCATGCTCAATTCAATCCTATCTTTCGAGTTTAAATTAGCTCTTTGCAACTTATTTGTTCTCTTCCAAGTTCAGTACTCTTGGGAGGAGGCGGTGCGCAAGGAAACCTTCCTGAAGGAGCACAAATGGTGTTTATGCAGGTGCACTAATGGTGTTTATGCGATCGCCGATCGCCCGACATGTGAATCCCAAGGCAATTTGCTGCGGTCCCCTTTTGTTACCTGAGGTGCCTGGGCAACAAGGAGCCCAAGGCTTTTTTCAGCTGCCTGTGCAGCAACCTGGAGCGCCGCAGGCACAGGCAGGGTGAGTTTTAGTGGCAGATGTGGCCACTCTATGGGCTGAACAATTCAACAATGCAATGGATTGTCGCACAAGATTCAGAAGAGTTATACTTTTTGCATCCTTTTCATTCCGGACAGCCCTTCCGCAGGTGGTTTTCATGCCTGCTGCTGCGGCGGCAGCCTCAGCTGCACCTGCTCCTGTGGCAGAGAGCCCACAACGACCTGCTCCAGAAGCAGGCCTAAGCTACCAATTGCAGCAAGGTTTCAAGCACGGTCCCATTCGTGCCCTGTGGTGTGTTGGTGTGTGTGTGTGTGTGAGCTTCTTCACACCAGACGTGCAATGCAAGCAACTGCCAGTGTCGGGAGCACATGAGAGGCCTTGTGAGTGACACCAATGCGCTACAACATGCTGCCGGAAGGCTGGCATATGTGAAAGGCATTAATGAACTTCCGGATGTGAGCTGGCTAACTGTGTACAAAGTAAGGCTTGGTCACTTGGGAGCGGAAGCTCCCACGCTACCCATCCTGTGATTCTTTTTGGTTGATGTCACTGACGCCACTCAGGCAACTCTTTAATGAAGCCATGGATCCTGCTACCCTCGATGGTGCTAATCCGAACATAGCCTCCAAAGGCTCAGCGCTACATGGCACTGGAAGGCCAAAAGTCAGCGCAACTGTTTGACTCCGTGAGACGACGAGAAATCATGCGGCATAGGGTGACGTTCAGTGACAAATTGTATGTTACTCCAACCTAATAGCTTCCAACCTAGAAGCAATGGCCTCCAACCTCCTAGCAATTTTGTTCATGTTGGAATGGTGGGGTCAAAGCCTTGGGAGTGGCCACCGTTGGCCTCCCACGGTTGAGGAGTGATACTGTGCAGTCCACTGCCAGGTGCAGTCCCTGTGCATGGTTCTGGAAAGCCAGAGGTTGCAATAGCGGCTACGACTGCACCTACTGCCATATGTGCCCAGAAGGTGCGGTCGGGACCTTTCTATATATTATATATCTATACTATATCTACACCTACATATACATTATATATATATATATATTGTTGATCTCACACTGGAGTTAGTCAACAACCTTCCGTGAAACCCTGTTCACCTAACGAAGCGACCTCGCTTGTCCGTGGCGTAATGATGTCCGCCCGCCCACCCTTCTTGGTGGATTGAACCAACGGAGAACCGCGTGAGACAGTCACCACACAGCTTGCGAGCTTCACACTCATCTTACTTTTTCTTTTCAAAAACACTGTCTCACCGATCCAAGGAAAGATGGTCCTTCGATGTGCACATGTCCCCACCCAATAGCTACGCTCGCCTGCACACCCCTGTTGATAGGTGTCCCTATAGACTTCTAGCCTTCGCAGATCCACTGGACAGTTCTCAACCCCGACAGGTGAAAACAATTGGTATCGTAGTTTCACGTGCGCTCGAATGATCTCTCCATTCGGACCTTTCTTCCAAAAATCTTCATCATGCATGTGTTTGCCGGATTGTTCCATCATCATGGCCTCTTCATTCTGCCGATCCTTTTCAGACCGGTGTTGTTTGATCCATTTCAATCGCTCTCTCGCTGTGAGCCGTTCCTTCAACGCATTGCCGCATGACTCTCATCACGCAGAGTGTATTTGCTGGTTCTCAAACATTCACGTAACACACTACTGTCCATAGTCTTAGTTAGACAGTCGGCTAACATCGCCTGAGAGCAAACCCAGCGAACCATGGCATTATTTCGAAGCCTTTCGCGAATCAACAAACATTCGATCGTTGTTCTCTGTTCCGAGCACTGAGGGATTGCAGTCCTAGTGAGAAGGTCATAGGCTGATTTGCAGTCGGTTACTAATGCACCTGGATTCTTACTGGACAACATCTCTTCCGGTTTCGTCCAATCACAGTCTGGATCTAGTAGTGTTGACCATAAAACTCGGATCCACAGTAAGCGATCTGCTGAATTGCTCAATGCTGCCGCTTCTGCACCAAGTGTGCTCCGCACAACACGGGGAATCTTCTTGCTGTACCATGCTATCGGTGCTACTACCGACTTCTTGTTCTCGAGAAGTTCCGGTGTTGTAGTGAAAATGATTGTACCTTGTTGGTGTGTTTGGTGCACGAAAACGACGCGTCGGAAAAAGCACAGTGAGTCACCTACCTAGGTTCAATAGGGAGTACCATCAGTGTCACCCGATTCTGCTTGGCCTTTGCTAAAACCTTGTTTCCTAGAATCAAATGTTTCACCCTAGCCCTAGTGACCTCACTCTGTAACTCTCCAACCTTGGCTGCTAAATCTGGGCGACTATGAACAGCTGCATATTGGAGGGCTCCAATGAGGCTTCGAAATGAGGTTCGTTCACCTTCAGTGATCAGGGACTCTGGGTCGTCTCGTCTACCCTTCCCCAAAGCGATAGGGCTGATCTTCTCAATGTACGGAATCTGATCATACTCAATTGATCCATCATCCCACTGCCTAAAATGAATTCCAGTGTGGGTGAATTCCCCTTGTTCGAAAGCCCCAAACTTAAACCGAGCCTCCACTTTCCGCAGCATTTCCATGAACATCGGACCGTCGGACTTCCTCCACCAATTCCATCATCTACGTGGATTCCGATGCAGCCCTCCAAGCCCTCTTTTGAATGGTACGTGAAGACACAGGGGTCTAGGGGTTTTGCCTACAGCCCTGTCGAATCAGCTCATCCCTAAACTCACAAAACCAAAGATAAGGGGCATCTATTCTTCCGTAGGCACCACCATCCAATTGGACTTGATCTGTTTCCCCCATCCCTAAGGCTTCACGCATTTCGGCGACCGGGACCAGTCCAAGTGGTCTTCCGTCACCCTTGCCATGTAAAAAGGCCGTGGAGATGTCGAAGGAAATTAGTGGCCATTGATGGCTCGCTACTCCTTGAAGGACGGTCATCCGTCCATCCTTGGACAATGTTGGGGCATCATTTACAACTTCGTCCAACTGAGGATCCTCCCAACCAATGACAATCAAACGGGCCTTGGCTTTCTTTCCTTCGGCTGACAAATCCTCAGGTGGTTCTTCTCCTGATGGATCTGATGGATTCTTCCAAACGTACAACCACCGGCATCTCATAATGGGAATTCTTCCTTGAGCCACTTCCCGAATGGTCTTATGCTGAAGCCATGCCCGCAACTCTTTATGCTTGGCCACAGCGAACCTCTTTTGATCCTCCTGGACAGTTCCTTCAATTTGATTTCTGATCTCTTCTTTCTATCGGAGACTGCGGCCAGGACAAAGGCATCGGGCGTGTCACAGGCTTCGGAGAGATCTCCGGCAGGAGTCACATCTATCTCCCAACAATAATCCTGACAACGAAAGCCCTCATGAAACAGAACTGTGCCCCCAAAGAACCCATCATCAGGAACCGGTACATCTACCCCGTCCCTGACTCTTTCCTCTTCTAAATCCATGGATCCTCTCCTAGTAGGCGCTGCCATTTCTTCCTCGGGTTCTGGATCCAGGGTCTCCAGTTCCCTCTGGTTCAGGTGGATTGACATCAGGTTCACTTTGTTCCGGAAGGTCATCAGGGTCCAAATCACAAAGGTCCTGGTTTCCTATTTTCCTAGCCCATTCCGGTGCCGGAACCTGGAACTCGGCTGAATCTTTCACAGCCTTCCACTCTCTGAGTGACGCGGCACGCAGATGCTGGGGACTCGCACGAATCAAGCGATGGGCATGTACCAACCAAATCACTTTCTTTTCAACCAAAGCCACTCTCGCTGGACCATACCATTGACCTCTCTCTCTACGCATGTTTCCCCCCTTTCTTTTCCAATAGAGTACTACGTCTCCAACCTCAAACGTGTTCTTCATCGGTCGGCTCCTACGAAGCATGATTCTCCGAAGGCTATTGGAATTGTCCATGGATACAAATGCTCTTCTAGCTGACTCCCTCAAATCTAAAGCTTCCTTGAAACTGTTTGGCCCTTCATCCAAAGCTCTAGAATGACTTATTGCACTATCGTCCGACGTGACTGACCCTGGCAAACGAGTAGCGCATCCGAGGACTGCTTGTTCAGGGGAATACCCGGACTTCCGGGGTCAGAGAGTTCTTGGCGTGACAAGCCTGTATCAATGCTTTCCGGAATGCTTCCTCATCTAGAATGGGGTTTTCCAGGTCCATCCTACTCAGCATGCCCTTGATGATAGCCCCATGGGATTCTACCCTCCCTAACTGCCAGTGGGATTCCCGTGCTGACACTTTCAATGTAATCCCCATCTCTTGCATCTTTCCTAACCAGGTCTCACTCAGGTATTCTTTTGCTGGGTCAACATATATGGTTTTGGGTGGTCCCGCCCATCGAAACTAGACGACGGTTGGCCCGAGAGCGAGACATGCAATTGTCCAGCACTGTCGAAAAGATGTCTGGAAAGAGACAAAGAGAGGGTGGATGTGAAGGAGTGACAGTGTGATGTGCAGGTGCGATATAGATCTGTAGATGTATGGAGGTGGAGAGGTAGATCTGTGGATGTGAGCGTGCGAAGATGTAAATGCACAGAGACGAGAGAAAAGACATGTAGAAAGAAAGAAAGAAAGAAAGACAGGACAGATGTGAAGGAGCGACAGTGTGGATGTACAGATGTGATATAGATGTGCAGATGTGTGGGTGTAGTGAGGTGGAGAGGT